ATCAATCAATTAATCAATTGAAACCACCAACCAATCAATCAACAGACCAACCTCAGAATAACTCTTGATACCATTCCATTCAATTTAATTCGCTAGGTACCTTTACAGCATGTTTACAGCAAAAACCATATTTTCTACCTCTGTGAAGAAACATTTTAGCAATGCTACCCTAGATGCAAAGTCATATAAATTTGAAGAATTACTGGTGGAAATTATAATTATCATGTCTCTGACAAAGTAAAATAATTTAATTACCTCTTGTTGTCAAAAAGCTCCTCAGCTTGCTTAGTTAAAACTTTGTCCAAATTTGCAGGATTATCCTGTCAGTGATACATACAGATTATAACTACAGTAAAGTCTGTTTTCATGGCGCTCGTTTTGTTGTCACCATCACAAATGAACTTGTAAGTGCATAAGGTTGCATTAGCATGTCGTACAAAAACTATGTGCTTGCAACTTCTACTTACATGTACCATTTACAATACAAAATTGATGTACAGGAATCAGTTTTGCCATGCCTAAGCCGGTTTTTGGAGATTTCTTTAAAGGGACAAAAGAATTACAATTGTAGCAATTTAATTTGCTGTCAGTATTTTTTGTGAAAACAGTGTTGAAATAATCACTAAGTGCTTTTGGTCATAATTTATGAAGATATCAATTTAGTTGTTGATAGTAGAGCAAATTGTAATTAATAGTTTTTAGCAATTTTTGCTGATCAATTTTAGCAGATCACATAAAAAGAGTCAATTTCAAAGACATGTGTGTAGCGTGTTTCATAAATTATGTTCCTTTAAATTGAAGCTTTGGTGTACTTATATCATTCAGTAATTTCTTTAACAAAATTAGACTATTGCAATAATGTTTTCATTAAAATAATGGAAATGTGTCTGTGGTCCCTTTGCAGCTAACAGTCACATAGTACACATTCCATTCCTAATAAGAGCAAGCCATGCACAGGGACATTTGAAACAAACAAAAGTAAAGCAAGTGGTGAAGATCGCTTTGTTTCAGAGCTTGTACTGCAGCAGGATTGGATTTTGTATCACTGATGTATCATGCTGTCGGTTCAGCATCTGACTGAGATTAGAAGATCAATGGGAAAAAAAACTGATCACTAAATGAGAAATGAAATTCAGAAGAGAAACAAGTGATCATGGTTGGCTTCATGAGCAGCTCCTAATAAGAGATTATCTACTTAGTTTATAATTTTCGTTTTTAAAATTTTTACCTTACAATATTCCTTGGCTAATTCAAATTCTCCTCGTTCAAGGTACATTCTCCAGACATCTCTACAGACCAAAAGAATGGAAGATTAACTGACTCAAGATCTATGAACTGAAAGTTGTCCTAACTACACATTAATAACCTGTATATATCTACACATCCTGTTGATGGAACTTAACTTATTCACTGGCAACTTGCACCTAAGAAGTAACTTCGAATAACACTTAGAACACATAACT